CATAGAGTTCCCAAGCCTGGAACGTTAAACAGTAATATATTACGACCAGGAATGTCTCTAGCAATCAGCGATAAGAGATAAAAGAAAACAAATGGACAATTATCCAGACAGGGCAAAGTGTAGACTGAAGATATGAAGCAGAACTGGCGTGAACTTTGACCGGGATGAAAGCACATGGCAGAGGTGAAGACAGAAACCTGGGGTGATCAAGAGAGTGACAGAGAAGTGCAGAGGGGTGGAGACGTATTATTATTACTCACGGAGGATGCTGCCATGTCGGGCAGAAAGACAGTGTGGTTTTGAGTCACCAGACAGAGGACGGCATTCACAGCTGTGCGCTTTCACACACCTGCACTTGGAAACTCTCACAAACACAACCCCTCCGTCACCAATGCAAACACAAGACTCCTTGAGATGGAGTCAGCAAACTGCACCACCAACAACTTCGCCTCCTCCCAAAACCAACCGCTCTTTGAACCACTTCCAGCTCTTTTCTTCTCCGCCAGTGTCGGAAATGCCACTGTTTAAGGGAGATGGTGTAAAGTCAGGCTGTTGGCTGCTAAGGGACTCTGCTCTTGTATACATGCTGTGGGCTTCAGAGGTCGGAGTTAGGGAGGAATGTTTGCATTACTACCTCCATTAAATCTCTACATGTACATCTGCTGGACAGCTGCTATTATGTGGAAATATCTGAAAGCATTTGCATTTGAGATGAAAATAACACATCAAAAGCCCAACCTGGTGGAAAGAGTACTGGAAAATCATACTAAGTTAAAGTACTATTACTTGCCTAAAAATGTAGTGCAAGTAGGGTAAAAGTGTCAATAATAAAAATACTCAAAGTAGGAGTAAAAAGTATACCCTTCAAAAATACTTAAGAGTAGAGACTAGAGAGTATTAAACTGTAAAAAGCTGATGCATTTACATGTAATTTGTGGATGTTTGTAAACGTAACATTCTGTAGTGTATTTAGTTATTGCCCAGCAGGCACACAATGCCATAGGACATTAATATTAGGTTAGATTTAGATTGTGACATCAGGTGACCAAAATTTTGTGTCTAGCCAGATTCTAAGGACAAGGTTATTTTGATGCCTGTCCAATAACGACGTCAAATAATGTTGATATTTGGTTGATTTTAGGTTGTTAGAAAGAGACCAAAATCCAGAACAACATCTTAAACCATCGTCATATTGACGTCAAATAATGACATTTATTTGTCGGGTATGGCAATCAAAATCCAACATCTAATAGACGTTATAGTGGTAACCTTCACACAACAAGCTCTAACAAGCTGTTGATTTTAGGTTGGACATTGGACATTGATGTCAGCCTGACGTTGGGTTCTGAAGTCAACCCGATTTTCATGTCCAAACAATATGTAACGTCCCCTCTACATTAGGGTACAACATCAATCTGACGTCATGTTGACTTCTTGTATTGAATGCCACTTCAGTCATGATACAGTAAACAGTCAACATCTTATCACTGACATGCATCTAAACAGTCTCAGAGTCAATGCGTATAAAGATTTTAAACATATTCTTTTGGACACTTTTAGTGTTTCCAAACCGTTTGCTGCATTTATAAATCACTCATGTCTTAAGGTAGTTCATTATGATGCGATTTACCTTTAATGTGTGATGTAATTGAACAGGAATCACAGGACTGATTTTTCTAATCCCCATAGACAAGAAAAAAAAAGTAGTGGCTGCAGGTTAGTGGAGTAAAAGTACAGATGCTGCACTAAAATTGTACTCAAGAGAAAGTAAAAGGTACACATTTTTAAAACCTCTTTCTTAAAGTAAAATTTCTGAGAAAAACAACTTAATTACAGTAATTTGAGTATTTGTCATTTGTTACTTTACACCACTGAACCCAGCCCAGGTTGCATCATTCAAATTGTATGAGAACACTTGTACACGTGCATTTAGCAAAGTAAACAAAATTCTTAATACCAGCTTGATCATGCCATCATACATACTACAGTTATTGCATACCTTGAATTATTTAAAATAACTGTCAACCAGCTCAGAGTGCGGTTGAGCAATGTTTAGCTTAGCTTAGCATAAAGCATTAAATCAGTTAGACCATTAGCATCTACCTCAAAATGGGACTTTCGATAATTGTTCTATTTGATAATTCGATAATTGTAGCTATACTGTGTACGAACACTGACAGAAAATGCTATGTTGCTAGTTTCTAGGCCAACATGGCTAGGAACTAAACTCTCATTCTGGTGTAATAATTAAGGAACTTTGCTGCTGTGTAATAGCTGCAGCAGATGCAATGATTTTATGAAGCCCCTAAATAATTGTCTAACTTCCACCAATTTAACCAACATGACCCCCTGCTTGCACAGGGAGTGTGCATTGCAACCATGGAAACATTTGTGAGAGACATAGAACATATTTAATTATCCTAAACTGTGGACTGTTCCTTTAAAAAGTGGAGTGTACCTTCAGATCACTGAAGTCACTTCAGATTACCTAGTAATGGTGTGGATGTGACCTGGAAAATGGCCCAGGTGCAAACATATTCATTGGGGATCCACCCTGGAGGCTAGTTTTACTACTCAGTGTAAAAAACCTTAAAGATGCCAACGAAGAACTCATCAGTGCCAATTTGCACTGCTCCGAATGACATCAACAGCCTATACATTACCCCTGACACTGTCTGTTTAAGTCTATTGGAGCTTGTTTTCACCTGTAGAACATGCAGAATAGGCATCTGTTGGGTTGTAAAATGTCTGAGAAGTAATGTGCTTTTTTTTTTGTTCATCTTTCAGTGCAACATGAATGGGCCTTAAAAGTGTGCCATACAAATAAACCTGAAGTAAACTTCTGGCATCACAGATCAACTACTGCATAAAAATGACAGAATGATAGATGACACAAAGTACCCAAGCTGCACTTTACACCTCAAACTGTACAGCATCTCTCCATAAGGAACGTGCATATGGAGCTGGGAAGCTCATCAGCCCGTATTCTTGTAGCTGAGGTGCACTGGGAGGAAACAGGGATTTGGCATATTCCCTCTGAGCACTTAGGAGAAGGAGGAGGTTTGTCTCCTAAAATCATGGTAAACTAAGCAGCAGGTCGGCATTAGCAAGGACAGTTTTCCAAGTGAATAAGTGGATGCTGAAAAGGGGATGTTGGCTTTCAAAGCAAACAGAGCTTTGCATGTTAACCTTCACATTGAAAGGTCCAAACATCCAGAGGGAGGGTTTGGCTGACTTCCTGCCTTTTAGTTCAGATTCCATAACCAATCCTGAAGCCTATTCTTCTCTTGATATGATGAAAATGACCAAACAATACCCTTTTCCCCCCTAAAGCCCCAATTGGGCGAGTTTTAAGACTTTTTTTGTCCTGGGATTTGCTGCAATTTTCAAAATAGCATAATAAGCTGGAAAAACACTGAACTGTCATTTGCGGAGAGCTTTCAGAGCTCAAATCCATGAGTGTTGACATTTTTTAGGAAATTTGGACCTTGAACCTGGTTGGTATTGTGTTTTTACCGAGTATACATGTGTCTTTCAAGTTTAAAGGAAAATAAACATGACCCCACTGATCCTGACTGATGAAATGACAGAAAAAAACTGTGTGCTGTGTATTTAGATCATAAAGTACACACACACAGTATGAACTTACAAAACAGCAGCACTGTACTGTAATTGAGAAGAGCTGGGATGCATTAAATATGTGTTTTCCCCCCATCAGTCAGATGATTTCACTGATCCAAGCTGATGGAGAGTTTCTATCTGAATATCAAATGGCATATTTCGGTCTTAATGCAGGCACATACAGATCACTGCTTGTAACGACTGACATCTTTTCAATGAGTTTGTATTCCCGGCTGAACTAACAAGTGAGTAAATTGAGACCAGACGGGATTCGAAGGGAAGTTTTATTTGTCCACCCCGAATAGTCAGCATTCCAGCTGCTAAAGAAAATAGTGTTTGTTGAGCAAGAGGGGGGCTGTAAGAGCAGTTAAGAAAGCCTGGACTTTAAAAGTCTGACAAAAGATCTGATGCTCAAAGCAATCCCATGCTGAAGGGTTTTCCACTGCTGCCCATTAGCTAAGGCTGAGGTAATATACATCCCAAGGAATGAGTCTATAACCTGATAGAAAAAAAAAAAAAAAAAGTCTTGAATCAGCCCATGTTGGCTGGCTGGTCATTTGTGATTGGTAAACGTTTTAGTGAACTTGAAAAGCATCTTAAGCTGGCAACAAGTTATACAGCAATGTCCTGCTGAAAAAAAAAAGATTTAACCCAACCTAAGATGTTTGCTGGTTTAAGGTTATTCGCTTAATCCATCTAAAAGTTTAAAACCCTTCTAAAAATAAGACAACATTTGATTTGTCTAGACTGGGAGAACATTTAAGTTTTATGCATGTAGGCTTAAATGAAACGAAAGCACACATTTTAGGCAAACATAATTAAGAACTGGATGACAAGAATTAATCTGGGGTGAGTAAACAGACCCACTTTGACAACAAGACAAAAGGAGGACTTGTTGGAGTTAACAAAGGGGTTTTAGAGGTCCAAGCCATGATGGTGATAATTATGATGATGAAGCTGAGATAGAAAAAGTGCCATCATAAACATACTGAATTGCACACATATTAATACACCAATAATGTGTGAAACACGCATAAAAAAGGTTGACAGGAAGAACCTAATTTTTTTTTTTCTCACAGTGATGCCAAAGAAGATTTTGGAGGGTTAGCAAAAGAAGATTTTAGTTTTTAAATAACTATTTTAATGATGTGAATAACATTTTCTCAATCTGAAAAACTATTTACAACTGTAAATAACCTTTTGTGAGATTACAGTTTTCAGGATATTCGTCATGAAACCACATGATGTCTTTATGATTCAGTGTGTCTATCAATCTCAGTTTAATTAACTGTCTGATGATAGGTGCTCTCATATTTCCCTTATCTTCGATCGTGAGAAAAATCACAGGTCTGAAATAGTTGACAAGCTGTGACACATACCTTTACAGGTGTGCTGATCGGAGACATCAAAAGTAACGCAGCCAAAGTACGTACAATCCTACATCCCACTTAAATGAACAGGATCAGCAGTTTTACCAGCTCGCGCGCATCAGTGCGTATTCCTGCTTGCTTCCAATAAACAACGCGTCCGGCTTGGCTTCTCGTATTGTAATGTCCTAAGCAACGCTGGGTGCTCCAGTGTTAAGTTTCCAGCTTTCTCTTAAGTCTCTCCACTGAGTTTGAGGTGTCATCTTCACTGCGTTTACAGCTCACGCGAACATATACAAGATATGCGTCACGCACTACAGACGTTACGCGCTCGCGAACGCTAAAAGTTACGCATTGAACATCTTCACTTAAGTTTCTTTGTCTCTGTTGTACACTGAAACAAGAGTAAGACTTCCTTAAGTGTGTATTAATAGAAAAAAAAACCTAAGAAATTGTCAGAGGAGAATGAAGAGAGTGGACAGAGTTTGGAGGCTGCATGTGCCTTGAAAGTAAGTGAGCGCGAGTGAGTGTGTGAGGAGTATTGACGTGCCCCCTGTGGACGCGGACTCCTTGAACTTCCTGTGAGCGTTAACTCCTTTACTGCTGCTGTCCTCATTCATCATTTTGCTTCAGGGAATATAATCAGTCACCCCAAAGCGAACAATTACGACGCATGAGTGCCAAAAATCAGGCAAAGCTCTGTTTTGTTATGACGGCGTCTCTGTGAGCAGCGGTAGTTTGTCAAATTTGTAGAGCTATTAAAAACACGTTAAATTAACCGGAGAGGTGGTTTGGAGTGGTTTTGAGTCACGGTGCCAACTTCCTGAGGTAAAATAACCTGCTGAGATTGAATTTTTAAGGCTTTTGTTTACGTTCTCAGTGACCCTAATGATACTGTAATTAAAGAGACTGGGCTGTCACATTTTAGTACGATACTTTAGGTTGGGTTTATTCAAAGAAATAGTAGGCTAATAAATAGTAAAACAATAAATTAACATGTTTTCCTTGTGAAAATATTTTGCATAACTCTGTTAATCATTTCAGTCCTGATCAAAACTAGCAAATTGTTAAGAAAATTTCAGGATTTTAACTATTTTTTCTAAAAAGCAGTTGTGGGCTGGGTTTTTAAAAAACCTTTTTTACAGTCGTGGACACGTGAACGATTAGTAACAACATGGCTTTGTTTTCCATTTTTTCTCTCTAATTTACTGTTGGTTGCTGTTTTTGCCCCATAGACTTCCATAAGTGCATAAGTTAGGGGTGTCTCGATCAGGTTTGTATGCTCTCAACTTCAAATCATTATAATATCAAATCATTATAATACATTTAAAAAAAGAGCAAAACAGATCCAGGATGTTGCTAATTTTTTATTTAGTTCACCCTTTTTTAAACATTTAACATCTCATTTAACAAACACTTTTGTGAGGTAGCTTGAACTATCAAGTAATTAATAACATTAATTCTTCACTTTTGGACTTTAGTGCAAGAGTAAATAAAAAAAATAAATTAATTATAAAAACAAATAAAAAATAAATTCATATAAAAACAAATAGCACCTCATCTCAAAATACTTGTCAGGCAATCCCAAGTTTACATATCTTACCGTTTGCTATGTTGTCGTCATCAACTGTATAAAACCTCCAGACTGCAGACATGCTCGCGCTTTGTGCTTCAAGCAGCTTTCATGTTCTACTTTACCAGCATTTAACCAATAGCATCTCTCACACAATTACAGACACACATACACACTTTAATTTACTGTTATACTCCACATAAAATCTTTATTTATTTATTTTTTTTTTTGCACAGGCTTATCTAAAAGGTTAATGGTGCCAACTGTTGATCAACGGTAAAAATTATTAATTTCGCCTTTTCCCAACAGGAAAAACCACCAAGAATAAAAAATTCATGATATGGTGTCATAGTTTTGTAATGAAAAAAAAATGTGGTTATAATAGAAGTCAATGGGCAAATAAAAAAAAAACACCAACACTAAATTAGGGAGAAAAAAGAAAATTAATTAAAAAAAAGCAATGCATCAAAGACAATGTTGTTTCACATGTCCAAAACTGAGATAAATGTTAAAAAAAAAATACAATCCACAATTTTTATATTGGAAATACATAATTTCGTGTTTTGTTTTTCACCAAATCAGTGAAATCATTTGTAAAAGTGGCAATTAAAGAGTTTTAATCCTGTAATTGTCTAAATACTTTAGTAGTTTTGATCAGGACTGAGGATGAATTACTGATTTCTGCAAATAAAATTGAAAAAAAAAATATTAATCTGGTGCAGTTTTACAGTTGTTTAATTCAGTGGATGTTTTCATCCTGAATATAACAAAAGGGTAGTGAATTTGCCCAAAGTGTATTGTTGATTTATTTATTTATTTTTAATTCAAAGCATTTTCCCAAAAGATGTGTCAAAAATAAGATTTAAACCAAAAATCATTCTGCTAACTGAAACAGAGAAAGTTTGTGACCATACTAAGACTCAAAATCACCCCAGAATGGATGAAAACATCCAAAACAGTCCATAAGGGTTAAAATTCTTTGAAATCTAATAATATTGTGTGGTATTTAGCATAAGCAGGGCCCTGGAAAAAAAATATATATATTATTGGTTATCTGGATTTGCCATAGGCATGTTTTAATAACAATTTATTCATAAAAATGCTGATATAGTGTCTTCAAATTTTCAAATACCAATTTTCAAAAATACCAAATACCAGGGCAGAAGATCTCAATATTTTTTGACGGCGCAAAATAACAATTTGTCAATGTTTGGAATTTATTATTTTATTTTTTACATAAAACAGTACTGAAACATGAACTTTTGTTTTAGTAAAGTTACATAAGATAGATATATCAAAGTAAACAATAGAGTCAACAAATATTTTTCCTGAGAACAAAGAATACAGAAACACTTCAGTTAAATTTAGCCTTCATTATAGCTGACCTGTCATCTGAATCTACATTTCAGTGTGATTTCTCATAAGTGTATGAGTTATTAATTCCTTTTGAATTGTGAAAATGGCTTTGGGGCAGATATGGGAAGATACCAGTCTAACTTCCAGCAAACTGAAATGATTCCATCACGTCATTGCATTCAGCTTGAATAATAAGCCTACATTATATTTATAGCGTGAGGAATACTCAAACATGTCAGCGCAAGTAAAGTCTTAAATCATCACCATAACGGTTTGTCATGCATCTCTGAGATCACCTCACCCTTTAATCAAGCCAATGTTTTGAAAGCAACTAGATTGAGAAAAAAAATATGCAAAAATTGGATTACACAGTCTGCTTAAAAGTGTTTATGCAAACTTAACTAAGACTCATTTTGAAACAGTCTAACATTAAATTGATGGACACGCTCAATTACTGCACCACAATGTTATCATCGTCGTTAAAACAAGTGATTAGACAATGAAAAAGCCCACGCACCCTATTAAGAACTAAATTCATTCAGTTAAATTGATAAGATAAAACACATACTGGCTTATTGAATTCGTCAGGAAGGTAAACTATGCTCAAAATATTTACGAGCGTGAAGAATGACAGACATTCCAAAGCCCCATTTTACTTCTAGACAAACAAACGGCCTGCTGGATCTGAAGAGCTTCGAGGAGCCTGACCTTCCACACGGGGAACGGCTTTATTTTAAACAGATAAGGAGAAATGCATTGTTTGAATGAGGCTTCTGCTCCATGTTAGGAATTCTTGTCTTCAGTTGTAGTTTAATTGTCTTCATGCAAACAGGCTGAGCAATAACAGAGGAATGTTAGTGTTGAGATGTTGTGGAATCACTGCCAGTCCAAGACAGAGACACCATTACTGAGGAAGATTCACAACCATCCGCTATACTACAGGACATTGTGTTTTGCATTAAAAGTGCAAATAGTGTCTGTTTTCTCTTTTGCTGTGTTTAGTTCTTTAAGTATGTTCTCAATTGTTGCTACGGTTACTGATGATGTTTGACACCTGTGTCTGATTTACTTCATTCGGTCGTTTCTTGTTGCAATTAAGGGCATGTTTACACAGCAAAGTAATACTAAAAATGCACACATCTGCAAAATGACTGAAATGCTGCATTAAGCATTCCATTGACTTAAGTTGGCAGTCATTTTGTGAAAAAAAAAAGGATTACCTGCACTTAAAGTCTCCTGTAGTTTGTTGTTTTGTTTCTCGAATAATTGTGCATGGTTATAAACTGAACACATAATATGATATTATATTTTAATACACAGTTGATTATTTGCCCTATCTAAACCTATGTGTTATAATGTACACTACCTGACAAAAGTCTTGTCGCCTATCCAAGTTTTAGAAGCAACAAATAATAACGTGACTTTTTGTTGATCATTTGGTATCAGAAGTGGCATATTTTAAAGGCTAAGGCCTCTAGATTATGCTTATTTTAGGCTAAATTGTCCGTTGTGCGTGTGTGTGTGTGTGTGTGTGTGTGTGTGTATGTGTGAGAATGAGTGTGTGTGGATGTTTCCCAGAGATGGGTTGGGGCTGGAAGGGAATCCGCTGCGTAAAAACTTGTTGGATAAGTTGGTGGTTCATTCCGCTGTGGCGACCCCGGATTAATAAAGGGACTAAGCCGACAAGAAAATGAATGCATGAATGAATCAGGACAGTAAGGTCTGACTTTGCTTAGACAAGAGTTTTGTCACTTAACAGAAATAATGTACAGTATAGAAAATAAAGTCATGGTGCAGTGGATTAATTAATAATCAATATTGTGTATGTATTTTCCTTCACCAAACTTGACTGATTTCTGTGTGAATCTTGGGTCCATGCGTCCATGGGTTCCAATAGGTCTTCTGCAGTATTTGTGATGATTGGGATGCAGTTCAATAGATTATTCATGGGAAAAATCGACCTTCTGCCACTTTAGCAAATGATCAACTAGAAGTTATTATTTGTTGCTCTTATAACTGGTATCGATGACTAAACACAAAATGTTTTACATTTTTATTCAAAAACAGTTTCACGTTAACGCGCCAAAAATGTTTGCATTGATTAATTTGTTTCCCCTGCATTTTCTGGCTGAATAATAGTCCTGACTAAACTCTTGTGCAACTGATGCTGACAGATGAAAAACAATTGCCATTTGTGCTTAATAGTGATGAAAAATGCATAGCAGTCTGTCTAACAGAAACAGTGAGGCTTTAAATCCAAATGCCCAGTTGCTTTATTTAGCAGTGTCTTTACTGGATTCCAAAAACAAGCTTAAACTTTAAAATGAACACATTCTTATGATTTCCGTTACTTATACAACAATTCAATTATACAGTATGTTTGGGATGGAACACAATAAAATGTATGACATCCAGTAAGGCCAAATTTTTTATTGTTATCAAAGTATTGTTCTCAGAACTAATTTACTTTTCATAAATTATTTTTTTTTATTCACCTTTTTCATTTTTACATTTACATAACTGATTACAGTTTACTTAAAAGGTACTTGGGACGAGGCAGTGGCGCAGTAGGTAGTGCTGTCGCCTCCCAGCAAGAAGGTCGCTGGGTCG